AATATTAAAAAAAATACTACTAAACATCGATTTTTTTTGTGTCACGTGGTATGTTAAATGCAGCACTGGTTCAAATTAGATGTTTGTGATGTCAAAGTACTAAGTCTATAGTTTCGTACGAATTAGGAACTCCAACTACTACTGATACTGACAAGCTAGAATATAAAACAAGAACCTCTTATCTTTTCTATTTGCTAAGATATTGCTCCTGTACTAAATCAAACACAGTGGCACTCCGCCCACTTCTTTCCACTTTTGGAAATGGTCACTTATATATACTTACTTCTATATATGACATGAATAATGAAATAAAAGCTCAGAATGTCCCCCTATTGGTTTTCTCACCAATTTTGACGTGTTATTGTGCCAATTTCTTTCTTTTCATACAAGATTTCAAACAATGAGGTACGTCTTTAGTGAGCTCAAATTTCATAAGTTTTTAGACCCAAATACAGCTTGATAAATTATAGTGGAATTCTATGGTATGGACATAGTAATTTATTATTATTTTATATTTAAAGTGTATATATATATAAAACCTTAAAAAATTTTCATTTCACATCCTCCATTTGGGAAATTTCTTAAGGCTTAGCAACCTACATCAAGCAGCAACCGAGTACAAAGGTTGTAACTAGAAGAGATAATTGTTTGCTTTACTTCTTTATTTACTGTTCTATGTTTTAAGAAAAATAAGTTCAAGAACTTATTTGTAAGTAGAAATAATGTATATACATATATAATGTATAACAATTGAAATATGACTGTATTTTACAAAATACTAGTCAACTAAAACACAGCCACAACAGGTCACTTTGTAAAGACTAAAGGTCAATTATATATTATTGGATATGGTAACACGAGTGCACGTGCACCACATCACTGTAACTTCTGTATTGCTAGCCAGGCCAATAAAATAAAAATAATAAACATATAATGTTATGAGGGCCCTGCATAGCCAGGTGGTTAGGGTGCTCGACTCGTAATCTGAGGGTAGCGGGTTTGAATCCCCGTCACACCAAACATGCCAAACTCTGCCTTTGCCTGGTCGCAAGTCCAGGCTGAGAAAGGAGGAGGGTTGGGCGTGGGGCTAGCAACTCCACCCCGTAAAAACCAACCTGCTACAAGTAACTGCAACAACAACTTTCTGTTATGAGATTTAAGCAATTTAGACTAAAAATATATGTTTTCGTGTTATAATTTGTAGTCATTATAGAACGAAAAAAGCATAATTTATATTTGTTTCCTAAATGTGGTTTCGCTATATAGTAGATAGCTACTGTGAGAATCTCGTTAATTGTTTAGGTTTATTTACAAATATTATTTATGGGTCTGTATATTACTTGAAACCATAAGAAGTATACGTGATTATTAAAAAAATTAAAAATAGATAAAATTTA